AAACACTTCCAAAAGTTTAAAATAAATTTTATTAAATACATTTTCTTTTTATAAAATTCATTTCAAATTCTTTTGGAAGCAGGTTGTTATAAATATAATAAACTATACTGACAAACACCTCACTTTTCTTGGTGCTTACCAACATGAGGTCTCTTATCAGGTGCTGTCACTTAGGTTTAGTATCATGAATGGACATAGTGATTTTTCAAATATTCTGGATTCCATTGGTTTCACACTGAAAATTCATAGCACTCGGTTCCCATGCTTTCTGTTTATCTTGTATTTATAATGGATGGCTTTTTGAAGAGAAATACTCCAACACAGACCCATTGGTTAACTGCAGATTGCATTTAATACTTTAGGTTTCTACATTTTTGGTCATACCTTCGGGTGTCTACCAAGCAAAAAACAGACCCAGTGCACAGATGTGCAGATGTAAAATAATGGCAGTTGATAAAAATGAGAAGATATCTGGCTAATTTGTCTTTAGGCCCCAAATTTTCTGATAATCTGATTTTGACTAAAAATGTGCTGTTGCCAAGAATCAGGAGATGTTATGAAGTATAACACATTCCAGAGACTGGAAATCTCCCTGTGGGAAGCTCTTGGGTGTGTGTGCATCTGTGGCTGTGTTCAGCATTCTGTTGCTCTTAGTAAGCTCCCAGCATGGGAGTTAGGGCTGAAAGCCGAGCCCTAGGAGCTGAGGCTGCGGCTAGCTTGCTGCTCTGCCGTCCTCAGCCTGCAGGCCCATGTCATGGCCACCGTGGCGCAGGAGGAGGTCTACTCCTTTCTTTTCGGTGACACACTGCAGGCGCCACTTCAAACATTGTTTGTACTCTTATTCTCTATCTTCTTTTCACCTGAGCTTTTAGGTTTTTGTAATTAATTGTTTTCTACTCTAGCTATTTAGAAGTCTTACGTGGAGACTTTCATATCACAGGGAAAACTTGGGAAAGCTATTGAATTACTGTGTTGATCGGGATTTTAAGGACACTTGTGGCAATGTTAGTTGCTCATTCAACAGTTTTTAAACTCAGGGCACATAGCTGACAACTTGAATTTTGCTCTTAAATCCCTTACAGTTTGAGCTGACCAGCTTCTGATTTCATCCTGCCAATAGAAGCTGTACGTGCAGTGCATGTTATTTATTCCCCCATCTTGAATTCTAACAATAAAATATTCTACTGTGTGCTTCTCTGTGGGAAATGGGGGGTGCCATATGAGTAACCTGATGCTGAATACTAAATGTTTTCCCCCTAAATCAATTTGTCTTGACTAACTGGAAAATCTCTGAATAATGCTTTGCACTTTAGGGAGACAACCTGTAAAGAGTTGGTTACTTTATAATGGTGGGTGCTGTTGGCTGGAGCCATGGATACTTTTTCTGGGTTCTTTTGGCTTACTTTTTATTATTTTAAATGCTTTACTCTAAAAAAAGTTAAAAGAATCAATTTATTATACTCAATTGAATTTAAGATTTTCAAAAGTTAAAAGAAAATGTTAAATAGTCGTTCTCTTCCTTGTGCTTCACCTGAGGGCAAAGACTCCGGAACTGAATTTCTTGCATTGCGTGGCGTTGTTTCTTCTGGGATAGTGGTTGAAAGCTGTGCCACTGTGCCTATGAAACTATGTTTCTTTTATTGCTCTATTGGCACAACAGACTGAGATTCCTGTTTTGTGTGATTATACTCAAGAATCTGGAAGCTTTCCTGCAACATTGCCCTCTTGTCAATAGGAGAAGGTGTTTTTGATCAACAGAGCAATGAATTGGTAAAATCGCAAACAGAATAGTCCTTTCTTAATATTCTCACATGGATCAGAATATTTTATCCCTTAACAATCCCCCCTGCAGTGCTTGGGACTGAACCCAGGGTCCTGGCACTGACACAGCTCAGCTCACTTTATCTTTTTCTTTCTTTGGTATTTCTTGTGCAAGACATAGACCTTGTGTGTACAGGCACTCGATTGTTAGCCGAATAAACTGAAAGGAAAACAGATGAATGCCGTGAAGTGTAATGAGTGCCAGGACAAAGGCAGGAAGACAGACTTCCCAGGAGAGGCAGTCTGTAGGTGGGCTGAGGGCTCAGGGAGGATGCGGCGTGAGGGGACTTGGAGGCTCTGGGGCAGGGGCGGCATGGTGTGGGGTCATCCCCAGCAGCTCACCCTGTCTGGAGGCCAAAGCACCAGAAGATGAGCCCTGGTACTGGGCCTGAAGACCTTGAGCATCAGCATGAGGAGTGTCGACTTTCTGCAGGTTTTTAAAATAACTGAGTAGCATGAGGAGGTTTTTTCCTTATAGAAACAGGTCTAGTGGAAGTAAATAGGAACTTTACTAAGAACTTCTTGTTTGGAGTAAAATATTTGAGACCAGAGGCAAATTAGGATGCTGTTGTAACAATCTATGAAAGAGAGGACAAAGGCCTGGATTAATAAAGGGATGACAGGGAAGGTCATGCCAAGGTTTTGAAAGTATAGAAGAATTAGAAAATAAAAGAATATGACAAATTAAAGAGGTAGAAGGTGAAGTAGACAGGAGAATTGAGGGTGACTCCCAGGTCCCAATCACCTCGAAGGGGAGCATCACCCTGAGAAATGGGGAGCAGGAGCAGGAGGGGGAAAGGAGGAACGGGAGAAGAGAAATGGGCTCCCTTCTGGATATCTGACTTTAGGGCCAGGTGTGTTGTCCGGGACAAATGGAGGCGACGTGGAGGTGGGCAATGCTGCTGTGAGGTGGTAGCTGAGAGGAGGGACCTGTGGGCCGAAGCCAGGGCTCTGCGGAAGGCCCCGCTGAAGGGAGACATTGAGGAAGACAAGCTGACAAGGGAGACCCTGCAGGTCAGAGTGTGGGGGTGGAACCAGGAGGGCTTTTCATCAGACTGCAGAATTCTGACTCTTTGAACTCAAAGAGGGAACTAAGGAAAGGCATTCAAATGGAGAGAAGTTAGACTAAATGCCATCAGGATGCAAGGGAAATGAGCACGTAAAATGGCCACTAAATCTGAGAGATAAGGGTCATGATGACTGTTCTGTGAACTATCTCAACAAGTGGTCCAGCCAGATACCGGAGTTCAGTGGGCTCAGAACTAATAGGTCACTAATATATAACTAATGTACCAAAAATCACAGTATTCCTTTAAGCATTCAATTGTAAAAAGAAAGGAGAAAGACAGAAGAGCTAAAGAGAAAGTCAGGATTGGGGGGAAAGCTATTTTGTATGTTTATCTGCTTTAAAAGGACGGGAAAGATGTGAACATTATATCCAAACCTTGTTCCCACTGCTGGCCCTCTGAGTATAAAATCTTATGTCCATGGGGATGTTTGACACATCTTGAAACCACTGAGCTACCTCAAATCTAACATGTCACCTTATATTCCAATGTAAACCAATTCTTCCTTCTGTGTTTCATATCACCTATGAATAACATCCTATAGCAAACGCTTTAGGTAGATGGTCACCTCTTGTAGAGCCTGAGCTCTTACTCAGGCCCTCTCTGCTCTTCCTTTGAATACAGCCTCACCCTCTCCTAAGTAGACCCCAACTTCGAGCTGCTTTCAACCTTGAGGCTGCACACCGTGATGGCCACCCACTGCCCGCAGACAAAGACGCCTTAGCAAGGAGCTCTGACCACCTCCACATGGAGCCCAGGCAGACTTCTCTCCAGGAATGCCAAGACTCCTCTCACTGTCACCCTTCTGCTGCTGCAGCTTCTCTTGCTTGTCTAGAACTCTTTGTACTTTGAGTAGCTAGCTCTTGTTCCTCTCTCAGGTGTTCTCCTAAACATCACACCCATTATTTAATCTTCTCCGAAAGCTTCCCGTCCTCCCCCAGGGTGGCTACGTGTCCTATGATGTTATAATCATAGACACCCCATGCTGAAAAGTGATATGACTCTTTCTCCCTGAAATTTGATCTCCTAAGGTCAGGAACGATTCATTGCTTGTGCATCTCACTGAGCAGTGGAACGGGTAGGTTAAGGTGCTTAAGAGAGGAGGGGGCCATACAAAGAGGTTTGAGAAAAAGGGGGAGAGGGTGGAGTGGGGTGATACATTATAGGTTAACTCTGGATGGCAGAGGTAACTCAGGTGCCTAAGAAAAGGAAGGCAGAGATAAAGACTGACAGTAGTGCTGAGCAGGAAGGGAGTTTCAGAATGGAGGCTCTCTTTCCTTCATTAATAGGTGGTTGGACAGAGTGAAATTTGGTGAAGATGGTGACAGAGAAGAAATACATAATATTTTCTGGGAGACTAAGTGCACATCTTAGGACGAAGTCCCTGCAAACACTGTACTCTGGAACATGCCATCTCCTAAAGGCTCACTCATATACTCAAAGTTCTTCTCTGAGGCAAAGCTTTAGACGTATTTGCAGCATTTTCTTTGCGTAGGTGTTCAAGTGCTTGTACCTGAAGGTCTTTGGTTCTCTGCCAGGCTGCACACTTGCCACCAGGGCTGGTGTGGCTCACCGTGAAGCTGCTGTTGGTGGAGTTCAGGGAAGGGTGACTCACAGTAAGGCTGTCGGCACTATGCGAAGAGTAGCTGTAAACTAACTGGAGAAAGGCAGACTTTGTGTTAGTCTCTTGCTTGCAAAGAATGATATAGCATTTGGGGAAGAACGTGCAGCATAGGATCCCATAGTTGGATATTAGGATGACGATAATCTCCACAGCAGGCAGATACTTGCCAAACGTGGTAGCATAGACAGGGATGAAAGTGACCCATGCTATGAAGTAAATGAGCGTGCCAAAGGTTATGAATTTGGCTTCATTGTAATTCTCAGGTAACTTCCTGCCTTTGAAGGCTAATATGAAGCAAACGAAGGCTGGGATAGCGATGTAGCCCAGCATGATGCCAAATGCCAGCACTGACCCCCCATGGCATTCAAGTATGATGACCCTGGGCAGGGGTACATTCTCCGCCACCACACAGGTGCTGCGAAGGTGAGCCAGAGCATGCGGACGAGGACCTGGATTCCTGTGCATGAAATGACAATGGGCACCGGTTTACAGAGGCACCTGAGGGTATTCTGCAACTTGGGGTCAAAGCTAAAAGCCAACAGAATTTTTAGGGACTTCATGAAAATGCAAGAGACACACAAAGCTCACACCAAATAACGTCTACCTGGTTTTACATGTGAAGTCTCGTGGTTCTCCAACGAGGAAGCCAGTGCTGGCAAAGTTGAGGAAATGGCAGAGGAGGATCACATAGTACAGCAGTAATCCCCCGGAAGATTTCACAGCAGGTGTGTTCAGGGTTCGTGTAAATGTTATGCCAATGGCCAGGACAAGGGCGATTCCCAGAAGGGAGAAGGCCGCTAGCAGGACAGCCAAGGCATCACCCAAGCTGAGGAGTGCAACCTCCTTCTCAAAGCACATGGTGCTCCTCACAGGGGCCTGGTGAATTTCATTGTTGCACAGGAAGCAGTGATCCATGTCTGAAGGACAGAGGAAGGTCAGCAGCCTTGCAAACAACTAAACCAGGTGATTGCCCACAATACCACAAATGAAACTCCCAGGGCACTCATTCCAACCACAAAACAGATACAGGCAATTATCACAGCAGTTTCTTTTTAAAACGTGCACAGAACCCAGAAAAAGAGAGAGTGAAACAGCAAAGGTGAGGAAAGAGGCAGAGGGGAAGAGAAAGACAAAAAGCCAGCTAGGCTATGGGCCTGTAGGGTATTTACATTTCAGGATAGACACTAGCAGCTTTTAAACTTGCTGTTACACATAGCAGTTCACCACTCTGATATGAATAAGTGATTTTGAATCAAATATAGATGCGGTTCCTGTCTTCTCTTTACCACTTGTGAGTCCTGCAATCTTGAACAAGTGCATCGAAATTTCTAATCCCATTTCCCACTCCCCTCCCCACCCCTAATGGGTGCCCCATCAGAACACTGCACATAGTGGGCCCCCAATGTGTAGGAGCTGCTATTATGAATGAGGCTGCAGTTCTTTGTAAAGCAGGGGCATTACAGCTAGCTTGCCCTAAAAGTTCGGTCTCTTTCCAAGTTGAGATACCACAAGATAATCACATCATGACAGCTAAGAAAGAATTAAAGTTTATTTTTTCCTCAGGAGGTGAGCAGACTTGATCCTTTTTGATAAACCGGAGCAGTGTTTATGCAAATCCCACCCGCAGGGCAGCATGGGATCTCGGGAGTAGGGTGCCTTTGCTCCCTATCCCACCCCTTAAAATGATGGATCCTAATGCTTCTGAAAAGCCTTTCTCAGGACATCATCCGATTACATGCAGCAAAAATCGAAAGTGCTCATTCAACTTTTTAAAATGTCTGTGTTCTTGTCTATGTCGACCTCAGAGTGAGGTGCTTTTGTCCATAAACTTTATGGACAAAACTTCCTTTGCTTTTTAATATCTATTTCCCTACAAGTACCCTTCTTTGTTTTCTTTTTATCCCTGGCTGCTACCGTCTCTGCTCATTCATTCAGGGGACATTTGTGGTCTCGTTGTGTGGACAGCATGTGTGACAGATGTGGAGAAGAGGAGAGGGTAAGCCTTCAGGTTACACTCACTCCTGGCATTCCCGCCAGGGTCCTCAGTTGTCTACACTCATCCTGTTTGTCCAAAGATGGAGCCCACACTGGACCTAGAAAGGCTTTAGAGTCTTTCTATGGGAACTTAATGTGCTTACTTCTCTACTTGGAGGATGGCTGCTGGGTACCATATTGCCTGAAGAATTTATCCCCAGTTATCTAATTATTTAGGCAGCACAGGTCCTCTCAGACTAGAACAAGTGGCATCTTAAAGGCACTGACAAAACATGAGCACTGGAGTATCTCTATTGTTATACTTTTCCCTTTGGAGCCAGTAAGAAGAAAGAATGTTTATTTGGGAACATTCTGATTCTGGGATTCTCAGTTTTCCAGAAGATGAACAGGAGTGTGGCAATAAGTGAAGAAACGTGGTGCTTTCAGGTGGGCTTTGCTGCGGAGAACATGCCAGTAGTTCTTAGAGCTTCTAAAGTTGCTGACTTCAGCTGTGCACTCTAATTTGTGTACTGTGCTCTGATCTTGCCAAACTGATAAAGATAGGGTGGGCAAACAGTTGGTTACTCACACCTCATCTCTGCTAATACTGGGTCCACTTGTCTTACAGAAGTTCCTTTCTAAGCAGAAGCAACCTTTGCCTCTTGCTAGGAACATTAAGATCTGCAGGATATGTGCACCTGTGTCTTGACTGGGAGCTCTGGCTTTATAGCATGTTGGTTTGGTTAATCCAACATTTACTTCTTTGTACCCAATGACAAGAGATGTGCATATGGAAAAAAATTGGTGGAAAACTTGCTTTGTTTTAAGAGTTGCTAATGACAAAGTATGCTGGAAGCAATGACTTTTTCCTTGGAAGTGAAATTCCTCTCATATCTGTATTATTTATTGGTCATATACCAAGTGATATAAAATAGGAAATTCCAAAATAAAATGAAATTTCATAGCCATTTTTACCTAGCAGATAGGAAGCTTGTAAAATTCTTTTTAGATGAGAGAAATCAAAATGGAATTCATGAAAAGGAAAACTGTCCCAGTGTGCCCACAAGTACCCGCCTGGTTGCTGTAGTGATTTTCAGGGCAGCTCACACAGTGAGAGCAGCAGGTGTGTTGGCTTCCGGTTGTCTTCTTCATTTGTCCTGGGCTGCAGTCCTTGGAGCATTTAGATAGAATTTGCTGCATAGAAAGTGAAAAGAAATCCCCAAAAGATTTTTAAAAAATACCCTAGTGATCTCTCATTTAAAGATGTATACTAAGTGGCATTGTGATCATTTTAGTACCACTAGGACTTTTTGTACTCCTGAGATATGAACAAGCTTAAAATATATAAAATACTTCAGGTGGAGAAATTGTTTTAGAAAGTATTTAATTGTCACATCAATAACATCTGTAAGAAACAATGGCCATTATTTCCTTCAGGCTGTTCTCAGAGGAGAAATGTATAGTAGCAAAAAAATGAGGATTTAGAAATTTCCAATCCTATGCTGAATAGAGTTTTGTCAAATAAGAAGATAGTAAATTATAAGCTTATATTCTTTGGAAGACATTTTTTATCATCTGAAAATCCTTAGAAGGCTTCTAAGAAGCCTATCCAGCCTCACTCTAAAAAAACAAACAAAAAATTGGAATATTTTGAGTTTATAATTCCAGCATTTTGGGAGGCTGAAGCAGGAGGATTACTGGTTCAAGCCCAATCTGAGCAACCTAATGAGACCCTGGTTCCAAATAAAAAAAAGGACTAGAGATGTAGCTCAATCCTCAGTACCATAAAAACACAAAACAAACAAATGAAACTAAAAAGCTACTAGTGCTAGTTAAAAAGACAACCTAAAATACTGAGAATTTAAGTCAGAGTTCTGCATGTCATGATGCAGGTCATATGCAGCATCCTACTTCTGAGGGATTGTCTGCTTCTGATCCAGATAATAGTTCTTTTACAAGATTTACGGTGTGCCATTCTTTTTCATTCAGGATCCCATGTCATGGTACATCCCGTGAATTAATCTGTGTTATAGTTTCACTTTTACCCCAGGGAAGTCAAAACAGAAGCTTTCTCAGGATTCTCTGAACAGCTGTTGCTGAGTCCGGAACACAAAGTATTAGGTCAACCACTGTTTTCTCTGGAATATGAAGACCTGGGAGGGAGAGAGAAACAGCTAAGTTTTGGGGCCCTCAACTCAATTATTACTGACTGGGTTTTAGCAGGAAGTGGATTGCCTTGAGGACTCCCCAGGCAAACTCCGAATCTGAATCTGAGGTATTTGCTCCTGGGATGTGCTCAGAAGACACAAAAGGATTTAACTATCAGATTCAGCCAGGTGTCAAAGGAGACAAAAGTACAGTCTTCCCTCCCACAGCTTCTCTCCCTGAGCATCCAGAGACAGCAGGGAGAGCCCAGGACTTGGTGTAGATATGAGAGATTGAACGTTATCTGATGTTTTGGACTAGGAATGTTGATGACACACCAGGAATGTGGATGCCCTTACTAACTGCCAACTGGCAAGCAGATCTTGAAATCTGAGCACATGTTCTCAGACATTATTCATTTTTATTATATTCTTGAAATATTTGTCGCTGTTTCCATTAGAAAAGAAGGCTGGCCCTCCTGCATGTGTGTCCTCTCCAGTCAGTTGCAGAAGTCCCAGCCCTGCACCCTGTGCCTGCACCCTCAGAGTGTGTCTCCTGCAGTCCGGAGGCTAAATTTGGGCATAATTAAAAATGGCACTTCTTGCAAAAATGAGAAAGAATCCTCCCTATATTCAATTACTGAGTTAGAATATTTAAAGGTGCAGTGTGGGTTACGGTGCTTCGCAGGGGCTGCGTTCCTAATGCAGTTTCATGAACAATGACGGTAAAGAAGATGAGGAGCTGAGAACACAGAAGGCCATGTTCCTGTCTCCCAGGGAAAAAGCATCTTGCTTCCCTGGAACCTCTGACAAGGGAGACACTATTAACTAAAATGGTTTATGGCACCACTATAACCATTCTCCCATCCACCAAACATGCGCGGAGTGCCTGCTATATGCCAGACATTGTTTTAATTGTGGGAGCTACGGCAGGGAATAGACAGAGAAATCACATTTCTATCTGACAAGGTTGACAATAAAGAAAACAAAAGTAAATAAAACAAAGATGAGACAGTGACTACAAGCTCGAGGTTGGCATTGCCCTCCCTCTCTCTCCCTCTCTGTCTACCTGCTGCGGATGGACCCTGAGGCCCTCACAAGTGGACAAGGGCTCTACCCGTGACCAACACACCTAGTCACTGCAATTTTAAATAAGGTATCCAGGAAAAGCCTCCCTGGGAAGGAAGGGACATTTCAGGAAGTACAGAAAAAAAATGAGAAATTAACCTAATAGACATCAGAGGACATATTACAGACAAAAGAAATGGCAAGTACAAAGCCTTGCTCTGGGAGAGAGAGGAGCAGGAGGAGTAGGGTCGCAGGTGAGGGCGGGGGAGATGAAGCTGGAGGCGCTGCTCAGATCATGGGCGCGAGATCTCTGAAGAAAGGTAGTCTGTGTGGATGGGGCTGCACAGAGCACAGTGTAAGTCCCCTGGCTGGTTGGAGGGATGCAGTAAAGGTGGAGAGGTGGGAACCCCACTGCAACCATCTGGACAGCAGCTTGAATAGTTGTACACACTGGTCAGACTTTAGACACATTTTTTTGTTTTTGTTCAGTTGGTTTTGGTTTTTGGAGACAGGGTGTCACTGTGTAGTTCAGGCTGGCTTTGAGCTCACTGTGTAATGCAGGCTGGCCTCCAACTCATGGCAATCCTCCTGCCTCAGCCTGCTGAGTGCTGGGATTACAGGCATGCCACCACACCCGGCTTTTCTAGACAGATTTTAAAGCCAAACTTTCATTGGTTGTGGAGTATGACAGAGAGAGGTGGTGAGGAACCCAACATAGTTTACTTCATGAAGAGTTAAGAAAGGGAGTTGCCATTTACTGTGCAGGAGCAGCTTTGGTAGGGAATATCAAGAGCTCTGTTTTGGGGAAATTAAGCTAAATTGACTACTGTATGCTAGGCAGAGATGTCAGTTAAGCAATTGTACATTTATTAGGGTGGCAGGACAAAATAAACATCTAGGTGTCCTTAGCCATCTGTGTAATGACACCATCTAACGTCATGCTAGAATAACCAAGGAAAAGGACAGACAAGCAGAAAAAGATGAGCAGCTCTGGGCTGCTGGTGAGTAGAGGTAGCAGGGACAGGAAGGAGCAGGCGAAGGGTTACAGACAGGAGCAGGAAGGCCAGGGACTGAGGTGTCATGGAAGCAAGCAAGAAGAGTGTCTTGTGGAGGAGAGGATCACTGGCTGATATACAGCAGGACAGCGCTGGAGTCGATAATGTGATTAAGCTACACAGAAACAATTTTGATGTATTCTAGACAGCCCCCAGGAGTGCGGGAGGAGAGAGATTAGGGTGAATCACTGTGTTCAACTTGCACAGCGAGTCGTGCTATGAGGAGCAGAGGCACAGGGAATTCATGGAAGAGTACATGGGGTTTCTGTGGCTTTTTTTAAGATAAGAGAGGGAAGCCCCCAGCACATCTGAGTCATCACGCAGATAACGCAGAAGAGAGAAAACTCAAGGGCACAAGGGACAAGTAAGGTGCCAGCACCAGACCTTGAGGAGAGGGAGGAGGTGCTGATCTTGGCCAGGGGCACAGAGGGAGGGATGTGGCACAGAGGGGCTGTGGGGGGCGCTGCATTCTGTCCAAGCGTTACCTTCTCGTTGGTAGAATGGGGAGCAGGATCAGCAGGACAGAAGGGTGGATAAGGCGCACTGATGTCAGAGGCACACAGAAGAGAGAACGCAGCTATCCAGCACTGTGGGCGGGTCAGTGAAGTGGGCAGTGATCTGTCCGCAGCACTGCAGGCCCCTGAAAGCCAGCAGTCTCAGATTCACAGTGAAGCTGGTGAGCAGCATTTCTTTTCTTGTCTTGACTTCTAAAACTTTTGTTTTCTGACAAGTTCAGCTACTCTGGGGCCATACTCAGACAGAGTTGAACTGAACCAGAAGAATGTCCTGTCACATGGCAATGAAGAGAGTGGCGAGGGAGTGACCCTGCGTCCAGGAGCGCATTGCACTAGTTGGCCATGGAGTTTGGCAGAAAGGGAGGACAGTGAGCAGGGAGAGATGAGGCAGGTGGAAGAATAGGAGAGGTGACAGAAGAGACTTTGAATCTGACATCTCTTCTCCCTTACTTTCTCATTACTGAGACAAAATACCCAACATCCAGAGTTAAAGGAGGAAAGGTTTATTTGGCTCACAGTTTGTAGAGGTTTTAGTCCATGATCAGCTGGCTCCAAGGCAGGGTGGTGTGGCAGAGGGCCATTGCAGAGATGAAGCAGTGCATGGAGGGCAGAAGGTAGCAAAGCAACAAGGGGAGGTCACAGCTCTTTCTGCCCGTATGTCTTATCCGGGTTACTTAACGCAGGTAGCATTCACACCCTTAGTTCTAGTGCACTTGATCATGGCATTACACCATGAGTTACCCCAGCATCACACATTCTAGATCCAGCAGGCTCTGAAAAAGGCCTGGCTACGACTGCATTAGGCTTTAGGGGATGTCTAGACACAAATGATGGAGGGGATTGCGGAGGTCCTGGCGGGTTCAAGGACTTTGGCAGTAAGATACCAATAGGTTCAAACGCTACAGTGTAGCCTACAACAAAACTACCTTAAATTTCCTGAATTCCTTTTTTGTTTCTTGACTTGTGAGGATGAAGACATCATCCTGCAGGTCATATTCTGCCACCTTGGTGACAGTCATCTGGCCATTGGTCTCTTTCCACAGGACAACATTGTATTCAGTGTTCAAGTCCCCATGGGCATCAAAATGGAAAGAATCCCCTCCATCCCCAAATGTCACATTTCTCAGCACATCAAGTAAATACAAAATGAGAATGAAAACAAGCACTGAGCATAAACTTTCTAGCTGTATCCATCATCCCAATCACAACATTGCCTTATCAGGAATATCACTTCAAGTGAGAAGAAAGAAGATTCTGCGTCTGGTCGGGGGACCTCTGAACCATCAGCACAATCAGACAATGAGTTCCACTTGTGTTCTAGCCTCATCTGCCAAAGTTCTGCCAAGTTCGGATCTATGGGTGGTAGCTACTCCACCCTGGGACATTAAAATCCAAGCATCTGCATGAGTGCATGTCACAGAGTTTCAGAATGGACCCTCTGTAGTAGATAGCAGGTGTCCCATTCTGGCTCCATTCTTTATTAGTAGTACATTTTCGACCGTTACAGTGACTTTCATCTTTTCTCCAGTGGTTCTTAAGTCTGTTTCAATGAGTGAATGCATAGAAAAGTGACCTCTAAATTCTATTTCCTTCCTCTCTTCCTCCTTCTTTGCCCCCTTCTTTCCCTCCCTTCCTTCCTTCTTTTCTTCACCTCTCCTATTCTTCCACCTGCCTCATCTCTTCTCAGCTCCCTTCCATTTGTTTTGTTTTATTGTGAGACAAGGTCTCACTGTGTAGCTCAGACTGACCTCAAACCCATGATTCTCCAGTCTCAGCCTCCTGAAACCTGGGGTTACAGGTGTGTACTACCACAGAAACTTCTTATTTCTAATTTGGTTTATAAGATGATTTTTTTAACTTGGAAGAAAAGAAATATAATGAAGAATTACTTGTCTTCTTACCCAATTTGTATGGTGAGAGCTGATATATGATAGGGCTAGAACAGGACATATGTTACTAACAAACAGGCAGCAGCATCAAACCTGTGCAGCAGGAGGACCCTGGGATTGTCACTGCGACTCACCACCAGCCTGAAGTGTAAGCCGGGTTCACAAAGCCCTCTCCAAATGCACTCATTGTACTTACTCATTACTAGGTTGATAGTTCTCGGTGACTTTGTCAGATTCAAAGTCATGGTCAGAAATTATTGTATATGAGTAGAATTATTCTATTGTATTCCATTTTGGTTAATCTTTTTGAGTGTTTCATTTTTGCCAACAGAATATAAGAAAATCAAGTTAAATTTTAAGGTAAATATGTGAGCTATGTGTTATGGTTTGTGTCTGTGTGTCCCCCCCAAAGCCTCATGCGGCCATGGGGCAGGCTTTTAGAGTTTGATTATGGGTGTGAGAGCTACACCCACCCTAGGGTGGATAGTTTACATATGTAAGGGAGAGGAAGAGGCTGCTTGAGGCCATTCCGCCCTTGTGAGTGCTTGTTGATTCGGCTGTGAGCTGTAGCCCTCTGCCATGTGCCACTCTGCCTTGTAACTTGCCAAGTACGGACTGAAACCTCCACCAACTGTAAATGAAATAAACCTTTCCTTCCTTAGTTTTGGGTGTCAGGTATTTTGTCCCAGCAATGAGAGGAAAGTAACCAAGACACTATGATAGTCATGGCACTGACCAAATAGCACTTTAGTAAAATCTCTAGTATGTGTTTTAATTTTATTATATGTCTATGGATTTACTACTTCTTTTAGTGACTGTAAATTACTACTATAAGAACTACTTTAAGGAAGCAGGATATTAGATCTAACATGGTGGAATTAACCAAAAACATTCTAGAATTGCCTAAAATTTTAAAATGGAAGAAATAAAAATAAAGGAATGTGAAGGTTTATTTAATATTTTCACTTCAACCCATATACTGGTCAATTCTATTCTTTCCTTAACCAATACCATGTATCTTAGTTCTTTAGGAAGTAGAGTCTCTTCCACACTTGTGTTTGAACTATATTTTCCACATGCTTTTTTCCATCCCTTAATTAGACTTTACAGGGTAAAGTTCTGACACATGTATGTTCTATAAATAATGATAACATCATATAATGTAAACAATCTTACACTGTTTTATGCTTGGTCTTACAGGGAAGTGGATAGAGGCAGACAAAACAGTACATTCATTACTCATTAAATATGATAGAACATTTACTTTGGTTTAGAGTAAAATTCAAACATTAACACTTCAGTTATTTATCTCTTAAATATTTTTTCCATCAATTACCTATTTTTTTAATGGAAACTCTGAGCTTCAGTATGAATTGACACTACAAAACATATAAACTCATTTTTACTGTGTAACTCATCTCTGCCTGGTAATATTCTGTTTTTAAGGAACATAAGGCCAGAGGCCACACCAAGTAAGGTGTTATGGTTGACCTTGTGTTGTGTTTCTGTAACTTCCTCAATCTGCTCCAGTTTTGTAAGTGAGTTTGTTTGTGGGAAGAGAGCTACGTGACTGAATTAGAGAACAGCAAAGGACATGGCTTACATCTTTGTCCTAGATTATGTCTTTTTCTTTGTGGAGTTTTCTGTGGTGTAGAAGAAAGCACACTGAACTAAGGCTAACTGTGTGAGTGACTATGGGACAGACTTGAATTTTGGTAGTCTTCTCCATCTATAAATTGCTGGAAGAGGTGATAACCAGTAATACTTCCTCTTTCTTAAGATGGAGTGTAAAGAGCAGAAGCCCTACCTTAATATTAGATGAGAGGTGAGATATACGAATACTTAGAATGCCGGGGCTTAAATTGTCAGTTACTACTGTCCTTACCCCCATTAAGTCACTCTCACATCTCCCCTAACTTATAGACATCTACCATGGCTACACATGCATATCTCATAAAATTTTCAATTCCAACATCTGTCAGCCAGAATATTTAGTATTTCTTCTCCTTACTTTTCTCCATGTTTCCATGCCAACAAACTGTTGCTCACATTGGAAATCATTTGTAATCCATATTCTGGTCTCTGTCATCTTTCCTATCCAATCTATACCTAAGTGTTCTTCACCCATCCTCTTAAAAATATTGGTATTCATCTCTCTATCCTCCCTGCCACACCTGTAGAACAAAGCATTCTTATCCTACACTTGGATTACCACATTGGTCTTACTCTCTCCAATCTTGTATTCCTCTACTTAATTCACACTGCAAGTGGAATTTGATTTCTTCAGTGGAAAACAGATCACATCCATATCTTGCTTAAAACTATCCTTAGTCAGCTCCTTTTTGCTCTCTGATGTCCAAATATTAAAACTCATTTTCCAGCCTTCCTATTTAAATGATGGGTGCTGTACCAGCTGTGAGCATTATAGGGGAAATTGTTAGAAGTGCAGATTTTCTGCTCTTATTATACAACTAGAAAATTAGAACCTGCCTAAGATTCCCAGGTGATCCAAATGCACGGCAAAGACTGAGATGTCTTAACTGGTGAGTTGCTATCAACCTGTCCTTCACAAACTCCTCCAATTTCTTGCTTACAGCTTCTGTGTGAGGCTTCAGTCCCATGGCATCATTTTCCCACCTTTTGCCGAGTATTTCTGTCCTCCCACCCTTCCATTGCATTCTCTATAGATGCCTTGTTTTTTGGAAAGTGTTCTCTGAATTGCTAATACTGGACAGGCTGGCTCAGTTATGTCCTCCTCCGCCATTTTGTGCTCACACGAAACATGGTCATGCACCATCCTACTTTATAATCCACTCCACAGTCACCTGCTTTCACACCACTCTAGACAGGTGACTCCTGGAAGGAAGGAGTCGTTTTCTTCTCCATCATATCTTCAGTGCTCATCACAATCCCTGGAGCACTGAGAGACCCAGAACATAATTGTTAAATAATCAGGACTACCTAACATCATCCCACATGTATCATTTACTAGCTTACATATCATCATAAGTAGGAAAAAAGACCTAAGTCACTAGTCACAACAAGAAAGTGGTATCCCCACACACATCTGACAAACATTAGAAGTCTGTTGAAGTACAATAAGTGTGGCTGTGCTGTCCCCAAACACGGCTCACAATACCATCGAATAGAGAGCCAGAGTCCATTTTATACTTGCACACGGTAAAAACTAAACCCTTTTAAAGTGATTGGAGTCTCAACTCACTCAGAAAGTGTCATTTAGATATCAGTGAATTTTGACGGGGGACAAATGGAGTACGTCATGATGGGGACCCTAAATGTTGCTGATCTTTTAAATTTGGCATCTAGGAAAGTTTCTTCATGAGAAGAGTTGTTTGCAGTGTTTGTCCTGCTGCATCTGGCCCTCCTCAGACAGGCTTATTTCCATCATGATCAAAGGAGCAAGCCACAAGTCTTCTTTTCCAGTCTGTTTGTTTGTTTCTAGATTAATGAACTATTGGGGACATATGGGATGACCCCATGTTCCTGGTGTTTAAATAAAACATTTTAGAAAACTTCCTCAAGTCTTTTCCTCAAAATGTTTGAGACATATTCTTGACTTAAAACACTTTCCCGGATTTTTCCCAGATTGCTAGCAGATAAATAGCTCTGCTATTTGTGTTCTTTTTCTGTGTGAGAGTCTGTGTCCTCTCTTCTTTGTTCTGTTAGTCTCTGTGACTAGTCTTTATTTCTCTTTCTCAATCTCTTACTACTAGAATTGTATGTAGGGGTTTTATTATGGTAGCCTACGTTTTAAATAAAGTAAAAGTTTTTTTTTTTGCAATGTACCAGGCCAAAACTATTGAAATGTTTTAGAAAATATCATATTAAACTTTGATTATAGGGGAAAATGGTGGTCTAAGTAAGACAATTTACAGTTTTCACCAATGCCTCATTAAAGTTTTATACTACTAAGAAAATGCTTTCGAGCATGCATTTAAAAAGCATTATACATATGAATAAATTATTTGAGATTTTAAATTTAAAAAGATCTATTCATTTTACCTCTTCGTTGTATTTAGGCTTTGCATTTACTATGGTGAAAAATAATTTTAAAAGTAAACAATATATACTCCACAGATGTGTACAATAATTATGTGTGAATTGAAAGTAAATTTTAAAAACGAACAGGCTGAAAACATGATTCACCCAAATGTAAAATGTCAGACCCCTGAGCTTACGTTTATGGGTGATTAAAGCAAAAATGCAGAGGCTGGGGTGGCTCAGTGGGTAGAGCCCAAGTCTAGCACACGCAAGGCCCTGGGTCCAGTCCTCAACACCAGTAGAAACAAAGAGCAGCAAGGAGGGGCAGAAGGGGAGATTAACCGTCCTGGAGATCTGCTTACATGACCAGGAGAGTGATGTCTTACTCTGCTACTTTCTTTTCTCTTAGAAACCTAAAGTACATATTTTTAATAATATGATTCTGCTTTAAGATATACAAGTTTGACTTTGAAATATACATTATTGACAAATTTCTTTCTAATGAGTGAAATGTACCACTATTAAAAGAAGCAATTTATTTTTAAATGCTTTTTTCATGAGCGTTTAAAAAACTGACCAAGATATAATATGTATATGCAACAATTCCCCAAGATAAATGAAATTACTATATATCATAAACATATACTTATAAAAAACTAAAAAATAAAGAAAACACAATGAAAAAAATTCATCAAATAGAATCACATTAAATGTTAGCTTTCTCCATATTACCAAAGAGAAGACAGAGAATCAGCTTTAACCTCATTCTTTTTTTTTTTTTTTTTTGAAACAGAGTCTTGCAATGTAGTTTAGGCTGGCCTTAAACTCACTATGTAGCCCAGGCTGGCCTCGAACTCATGGTTCTCCTCCTGCCTCAGCCTCCTGAGTGCTGGGATTACAGGTGTGTGTCACCACACCCAGCATGAGTTGGTTTTGTTTTTTTTTTTGATATCAGGAATTGAACCCAGGGCTTGCACTTGCCTGGTAGGCTCTCTGCCACTGAGCTACATTCCTGGCCTGAGAATCAGTTTTATACACAATTGGTAGCTCATTTACCTGAAAAATCATAACTGGACTAATAGCATTCCCTTGATGATGTCTAGACTCCCAGACAGAGCACCTTAGGTACCAGAGTCTAATGGAGGTGCCAGGATTATGAACCACTAGTGATAAAGTGAAAAGCAAAGGATCTCACATCAGGAGATTCACACTAGGCCTTATTTATGGTTCTTAGCTTTAGGTTCCTCACCCATAATACGCATTGAGCACACCTAATTCAAAAGTCATAAATCCAAAATGCTTCAAAATCTGAAACATAGTGAGTGCCCACATGACAACATAGTGAAAAATTCCATACCTAAACTCATGGTCATGACACATGTACACTGAAAACATTGCATAGAATTAGCTTTGGGCAATGAACAAGGCATATATAAACATAAATGTTGTTGTTGTTGTTGTTTTTCTTTGTTTTTTTTCCAGTACCAGGAATTGAACTCACGACATCGCGCTTGCCAGGCAAGTGCTGTGCCACTGAGCTAAATCCCCAGCCCCCATATAAACATAAATGAATTTGCATTTAGACTTGGGTCTATCCTCAAGATATCTATCTATCTATCTATCTATATATATACACACACAAATATACTATATGTATTACTATATATCTATAATGATATATATTATTTCAAATTTGAAATATTTGAATTCCAAATATTGAATTTGAAAAAGTTCCAAATTTGAAAAAGTTGAAAAATTTGAAACACTTATAATTCCAAGTATTTTAGAAAGGGGATACTCTACTATATTTAACAACAACAAAAAGGTTCTAGTTCTTATAGTTTAAAATGTTAAATGAAATCATTTAAATGAAGTATTGAAAAATTCATATATTTAAAGGAGACAGATTTACTAACAGAATCTTGGGAAATAAAAGTACAAAACTTTGGTGAGAGTAGGAGGTGAGGGTTAAAGATAACTGTCATCTTTAAGAAGAAAGCACTGTGATGAAAACACAGGCTACTCAAGCACTGACCATTTCTACTTATAAAAGGAACATGATTAAAAGCAGTGAAAATAAATATTTGCAAAATAAAGCAAGGAAGTTACTGGGGAAGCAACAGTATTTTCTCGACTGCATGAGGCGGTTAGTACCTCCCACGGCTGGAAGGTGTGGGGTTCTGACAGACTCGAGCTTGGCACAGATCCCGGAGAGCATAAGCAAGGGCAAACACAGCAAGCTGAACACTGTGAAAGCCCTGGTTCTCTGTAATGCTGGAGGAAGTTGTTTCTCATGAACAAGTTCCTTTCTACAGCCTTGTGAACGTTGTGGGTCAATATCTTGTGAGAATGGTTGGAAATGCGTTGACTCAAATCACTGTCTTTGACGTGTTCACGGGCAGAAGAAAGCATGGTGTATTCATGGAGGAGCTTGTTGTTGTCACTGGGATACATATGCAGAGTTTGAAGAAAGGAGTGGAAAGAGGACACACCCCCTCTTATAAAGGGAAATCCCACAACTTTGCCAATCTTTTTAACGTTGGGAATGGTGATGATCTTAGTAGCAGTTGACCAATTATCACTAGCAATCCATATCTTATTTATATTTCTTTCTATGGCTTTATTAAAGAGATTGAAAACGTGGAATTTCCTCAGAAATACCACAGTGACATTAACCTGTGGCTGTGCAATGATTTTCTGAAGTGTCTGATTGATCCTGACTTCGATGGTCTTATCAGAGAGGAAAGCTGGGAGAACCTCGTTGAAAGCTATACACACTTTATTTGCTGCAGCCTGAACTGCAAATGTGTCGAGAGCCAGTCGTGGTTATGATAGTCATCATCCGTGGTTATGACACCGATCCAGTTCCATCCAGATTTCTGGATTAGTTGGGCCATTGCTGTAGTTTGATGGAAGTCACTGGGCACAGTCCGTAAAAATGAAGGAAAATGAATTTTGTCACTTAGGATTTCTGCAGTTGACTCATAACTCACCTGGAAGTGGACAGACTCTTTTGGTGATGGTGTTGGTAAGGTTTAGGTGGTTGTTTATCATAGGTTGTCCTCCCTTTGATTTCCATCAGTTTCCACAGCCTTTCTCTAAATTTTCTGGTGCCTCCTATCTTGCCCTTTCCATGGGCTCCCACTGTACAAAAAGCTAAATCATACACTTACCACCAAAGTGTGGCTCAGGATCAGTGCTCTCTAATCATTTCCTATTGTATACAGTACAGAGCCTGTCTTCTATCTCCATTTATGTGACTATATGCATCTATGTCTAGCTTAAACCTCAGGCCAGGGTAATAGTAGATATTTAAAAATTCAGAGGTAAATACAGACAGAATGTAGCCAGGCAAGTAAACACAGCACATTTGGGATTAAAGACATGAAAAGCCTTCTTTAATCCACAACTTTATTGATTTAGCTTCAGGTAAACTCATCTAGTCCAGGGCTCAACAAACACTTCTGTACAGGACCAGAAACAAAATATTTTAAGCTTTGCTGTTCACAAGTGGTCTTTACATGCCTTATTGCATTTTTCTTGTTAAAACCTTTTAATAAATTTCAAAACCTATCTTAGCTTGACAGCTCATTGGCTAAGAAGCACATTTTTCCTCTAGGCTTTGGTTTTCCAACCTCTGATTGAGTAGAATACACATCAGCATTTTGGGAGACCTACTTGATATGTGAAAAGTTTTGCTTGACTTATAGCTTTTTTGATTTTATTTTATGGTGAATTACTGGAGTTATTGCCTTCCACAGTTGCAATAGCACCATGTAACTTACTCAGTGAGGCTTTTGTTTGTTTGTTTTTGCTACTAAACAGTAGCCAAGGAAGGGGTATGGTAGAAAATATAGGCTTTGGAGCCAGACAAAATTTTGAATCTTAATTCCAATAAATTTAGAAAGTTACTGAATATTTCTTTACCTATATAACAAAGGATGTTTATTAAAATTGAAGGAGAAAACTTAAATAGTTTGCTTATTTTCAGATTTCTGCCTTGCATTCCAGAGAAGTAATTAGTTTTGCTATTTATTCTCAAAGCCTTTCCATTACCTTCAGGAAAAGATAAAAACAATACCTCTGCTTACCAGACAATACATGGCCCATCCTCTTCCTGTCTCTGCAAATGCATCTGGTATTTTTCTCCTTTCTGCTCAAACTGATCTACCTGTGCTGACCTTAGTACTATTCTCCCATCTTTGCACTTGGAGCTTTCTTTGCCAGATACTGTCCACGCGCCCACCAAATCCCCTTGGTATTCTTTTTTATTCATGGTTGAGACTAAATATCTCTTCCTTGAGAAGTCTCCTTTGGCACCTTAGCCCACCCACCCTTCACTCGCAACATTTCCTTCACAGTGCCTGACTGATGCTAAGCAAACAAGGAAGCTGAAACCCTCAGAGTGTGTATCTCATTCAAATAGATAGAAACTAGATCTGACTGATGGAACTGTAAACTCCCTAACTAGTTGCTCTAGGTTTCTCTGATCCTTTCACAATAACAAACATTATCAAACCAATGGGAACAAACCCACCTGTGGCATGAGCTGCACATTCAACATCCTGGAGACAGCCATGGTTATTTCTGAGTAGCCAGCACCTATGACAGCCTTGACTCTTGGTGTGTAGCTGGAGTAGTTGCTCTGAGACTCCACAGCTTCTCTGGAGCAGTTGAGTTTGGAAAGCAACCTCAGGGTGGCCGCCATTGCTGCTCTGACTTCTGTGCAGGTGTTGTAGATTTCATAGCCCAGTTTGATTCCAGATAATAATGTGGAATTATCGATCACCTCAATGCTGTGTATCATAGCGAGAGTTCGGAGAAAGACTGCTGTTTCAAGCCTGTTGAGAAATAAGTGTTTTCTGAATGTATGGGGATTAATATGGGAGATTAAATTAATCTCATTTTATTCATAGTTCTGCCTTATAACAGACAATTTTTGAATACATGAAGTCTATCTCTTGAAGGATCTAAACTTTTTTTGAAAATGATTTTTAGTGGAAAGAATAATGCTAGAGACCACAGTTCTTAATGGTGGCAATAGTACAGAATTTAATTGTTTCTTGAATTTGCATCAATTTTAAATATTTAGTTTAGTACTTTGCAATATGAGATATATCTGATTTGGGTTTTTTTTTGAAATTTGTTGTATTTTACTGCCATCATCAAAGACTCAAACCCTGTTTCTCAGTTTTGTGATTTTAATTTATTGTGGTTGAAAACTGGATAAATAAGATGCTTAACAATTCCACTTAAATAGTTCCTGCATAAAAGTCCAGCAGACCTCTCCTAGCAAGTGCACTAGCTTAACACAGAGGCAGCACTCTCCACATTCAAGAACACTTTGAAAGTCCTTCTCAACATGTGATCATCCCAGATCCCAGAGCTGCTCTGTACTGATTTTCTATTATTTCATCAGTTATTGTATACAAAATATTATAAATAGTGCTAATACATAAAAGTTCAATGGATGCTTGTCACTTCTTTCTTTTTTTTTTTTTTTTTTTTTTCCTTTTTTGGTACTGGGAATCAAACTCAGGGCCTTGGGCTTGCCAGGCAAATACTGTGTTGCTGAGCTATATCCCCAGTGCCAAAGGATGCTTTTTTTAAAAAAAATTTTCATTTTAAAGAGAGTAGTACATGAGAAACAAACAAACAAAAAAATAGACCAGTAGCAGCATACCAGTATCACGAACATAAACAAATCAAAGCAAGAACATTCAAAGTGATACAGGGTCTCAAGACAAATTAATACAAATCAACAGTGATTGTTACATTGCATATTGTTATCTTCAACTACATTGCTCAGATTACCAGATGTAAGAATGAAAGATTGCCCAAACCATTAAAGAGAATAAGAAAATAATTCTTCAATAAAACATTAGTGATAATACAGTTTCACTAGACAAGATGGTAGCAGTTCACCGTTGTAATTTCTTTGCATATTGTTACCTTCAAATCAGTTGCTCAGACCACCAGACACAAGCATGCTAATGGATGCTTTTTAAATGAAGAAAGAGGGATATTATTGTTAAGGTTTTGATAGCCTGAAGTTTTATAATAGTTCATTAAGTTATGCTGCATTATTTAAAAATTATTCCTTGTCATTGATCATCTAAACATGATGTTTTTAAAAAATCAGTATTATAATTTTTATTTTTTGAAAAACATAGGTTACAAATGCAACATTTTAAAAATCAACAGCTTTTCTGTATGCCAATAATGAACTAGTTGAGAAGGAAATCAGAAAAGCAATTCCAGTCACAATAGTTTCAAAAATAAAAAAAAATACCTAGGAGTCAACCTAACCAAGGAAATAAAGATCTGTACAATAACCACAGAACTCTGAGACAGAAATTGAGAAGACACTGGAAGATGGAAAAATTTCCTATGTTCATAGGCTGACAGAATTAATACTGTTAAAATGACAATATTACCCAAAGTGATCTATACATTCAGTATAATGTCAATCAAAATTCCAATGACATTCTCCACAGAACTAGGAAAAAAATCCCTAAAATTCATATGGAAAGAAAAAGCTTCAGCATAGCTAGAGCAGCCTGGGGATATAGTTCAGCGGCACAAGAGCCTGCCTGGCAAGAACAAGGTCCTGAGTTCAATTTCCATACCAAAAAAAAAAAAAAGTTGTTCAGAATAGCCAGAGCTATCCTAAGCAGAAAGAGCAAAGCTGCAAGCAACACAATGCCTGATTTCCAATTATACTACAAAGCAGTAGTAAAAAAAGCAAGATGGTACTGACCTAAAAGTGGACACAGGCTAATGGAATAGAGGATGTAGAAACAAACCACTCAACTATAGCCTCTGGATGGTTGAGGAGACAAAAATGTATGCTGCATATTATTCGGCCATTAGAGAGAATGAAATTTGCAAGAAAATAGAAGAACTGGAGAGCATTATGTTGCGTGAAATGAGCCAGCTGCAGAAAGACAAGTATACTGTGTTCTCCCCATTGCTGTATGTAGAATCCTTTTTTTTTGTTTTTCTGCCTGTACTGGGAATCAAACTCATGACCTTGTGCTTGCCAGGCAGGCACTGTGCCACTGAGCTAAATCCTTAGCCCCTGTATGTGGAATCTAAAAAGGCACTTGAAAGGAAATCATTATCAGACAAGAGGATAAGGGATAGAGGATACGGAGGTATAAGTGAGGGTAAGTGGGTGGATATGATAAAAATATTGTATATGCATGTATGAAAATACTACATTGAAAAATCAATATTTTAAAAATTAATAGTCACTAATAAAATGCATTAAAAATAAAAAAGGGAAATGGTAAACTAATAGATTCCTAATATTTAAATTGCACAATGTTTTCAGAGTCCCTCACGTGTAAGCTCTACTAAAGTCAGGATGATTTTGTTTGATATATTTGTCAGGATATCTCCAGTGCCTAAAACAGGGTCTAGGTAATATAGGTATTTAATAAGTAGTGGTTTAATATTGAATGAAAACTATTTCTCTTGATGAATGACAATAAGGTAAAAGACTTTCAATTCAGTGATTTTTCTTTGCCTCAGGAGAAATTTGTCTCTGAGTCAAAAGATTCTTTTTTTTCACCAGTTGTTGGACTACAGTTGTGGGCTTCAAACCTGCAGTCACTGGGTACCAATGCAGTGCTCTGAAGATCTTCACATTATTCTGCGTTACCCTGGTGTTCCTCTAATCAAAGCCTCTGAGGACAATAGCTCATAGGGCCCAGCACCTGAGGAGAAGGCCAACAAGGGAGCATGGTGGGTCATGGACCACATTTTACCTGAAAGCATTCTTAGAGGGCTTGGTAAATATTTTTGGTGAAGAAGATTAAAAAAAAGTAGGAGAAAAAAAGGAGGTTAAGCTTATGTCAGGACAGAACCAGAATTTTAGAGTTAAAAGGATGCATAGGGGTCACATTGCCAGAGCAATTGAAGCGAATACTGCCTACGTCCTGGGAGGTCTGGAAAGGTCAAAGGGCTGCAGTGATTTGGCTATGTCTGTACGGGACCTGAAATTAGAGACAAACACTCCACTCCTCTTGAGGAAAATGCATTTGAAACTCCCTCCCCTGGTGCTGCTTATCCACATGACACTGTGCCAAAGTCTCTTCTGTGACTAAGCTTCATGCCCATGCGTACACCAGGAGGGAAGTTTTGAGCTGAGAAGGATCATAATTTACCACAAAAGCATTAGATTTTTTCAAGGATGAGATGAATACGGTGTTGACCAAAACTTTGAGAAAAAATTAGATGTAGCCTATTTTAAATACAGTGCTAATAAATGCATCTCAGTTTAGAACAGAGTACATGTTGTGGGTGATAGAAATACAAATGTGCAGCACTGTGTTTGCATGTAGCAAAGAGCAGGTTACAGTGTCTTCTCAAGTGAGTTCAGGAATTAGGCACAATCCCAAAATACATTAATGAAAAACATCCATTATCTCTACACTTGAAGGTTGTTTGATTGCACATAGTGCTAATAGATCTCTCATTCAAGGAAGAATTGCAAGACTAACCACATCCAAGCTAATACACACATACATACACACATATATGCAAGTTCAAATTTTATTAAAATAACGCAGATATTAATACACATAAATGTCTTAGCACAACCTTGACATCTAAATGTGTTTGGGGGTTTACTCAGCCAACACACTTCTGGATTTGTGGCCTTCTGGCGTGGTCTTCTGAGGACACCATTTTTTTGTGAATGGGGAACAAACCTTCAATCGTGATATGTCCTGGAGAAGTGACAGCTACAAAGCATCAGGAGTTTGGCAAGGCTGGGAAGCAGCGAGAATAATCAGAAAGTAGGTAAGCCGTGTGCCTAATGCCATGCTTTGTCTCATGTGCTCAGTTCATGAGTGCACTTAGGGTCATCACAGTCACTAAACGACTTCAACAAGGCTCCTATTTCACCTGTAAGCACCTTGCAAGATGTGGGTATTAGCAAGGGACAGAGGCACTCAGTATTCAGATAGCTGGTAGTGAAAACAGCTCTTTCACCAAAAATAATGTACCAGGCTCTCTCCGACACTCTGCAGAGTTGGAGTCAGACATGTGATAGTCATCATACATGGTGACAGCTGAGAGCGTTATAAACACAAGTTTCACTGGAATTGCAGTGTTTTGCTACTATGTCAAGGGCTTTTGATCATGTTGGAATTTCCTGTTAAATAGGATGTAGACTCCTCAGGAGGGAGCAGTTGGCAAAAAATGTCCACTTTAAAAACGGAAATGTCTGTCTAAATATATCATGTTTAACACACAAATAATTCAACGTAGTTTATAAGCTGTCTAGAGAAAAACAGCTTTGCTTTTATCTTTCCTCAAAATGTCTATTTAATAAAACAAAATTTAGTTACCTTTAGGGTTAAGTCTCTTCTAGTTTACTTGTGTTAGAGAAAATAGCATTTGTGGTGATGGCAAAACTAAAAACAAGATGAAACTTGGCTGATACAGTCTTATGCATTGAGCAAGAAAAATCATGATTTTTGCCATTACTTGTGTTATTTTACTTTTGTTTTAAATTTGGGACTGATTTCAGAATACAAGTTCTTAAATTCTAAGTAATCTGAACTGACAAGATTTGATGGGCATCTTTTGGACTTTGTCAGAGGACAGACAACCCCCAGTGACTTAGGCATCATTAAGAAAAAGTTTTAAGTTTTAAAATGTTTTTCAAATTCAATCTTTAAAAAACATTTGATATAAAAAGAATAGCCCATGGGAAACAATACCAAATCCTATTTACATACATAGTTTGTTTCATGAGCAGCAGATACACTTAAAATAATTTCAAAAAATGTACAGTGACCACTGCAGCATTTTTTATTATCCACACTAGCTTTAGATTCCACAGACTGTAAACCACACCAATTGAGGAACAGAGAAGTCATAGCATCTCCTAGCATCAAACGTTTTCTTAAATCTTATCATTTTTCCAATGGTAGATTTTCTAATAGGGTAAAACCAGTACTTTCAGTTGTCCAGAAAGTTTAAGAAACACATATGAGTTTGAAGTATTTTAAAATGCTTATTTCATTTTACTAATCTTAGTCTGATTGTTCTGTGTGCTTGTGTTTGCATGTGTGCAGATCTGGATCAATTGATTTATATTTCTATGAATTTAGTTATTCTACTCACATAACCTCAAAGGTCTCAAAATTGTACTTCAAAGATGAATTTAGTAAAACTATACTAAAAACAAAAAATCAGATAGTCTTCTAGCAAGAGTATATAATAGGTATTAAACAACTCAGAGCTTGTAGGTTGGACATTTATTTGAAAAGCCAGTGGCAAATGTTATACCAATGATTTCTCTTAGTTTGCAATTTAAACAATATTCAGCATTTTTGTAATTGGTAAAAACATAAAGATAAAGCAAAATTTCTCATTTTAATGAACATAATCTAAATTTGAGGATTTGTTTTTATACAGGAACTTCTGCAGGCAGGGAAACAAAAGCTGTGGGAAGCCCTTTGCCTGTAAACTGCAGTGCTTCGTAGCAGAAAGGCTCAAACTTTGGAAGCTGGTACATCTGAGCCTCCCTGCCCACCACTGGCTGTGTGACAGAGAATGAGTTATGCAACCTTTCTGCACAACAATCTTCTCATCCATAATAACTCAGATGTTCTGTCCGATGGGTATGTGTGAGGACTGAGCTAATCCACTTGTAAAGCTACTGTACTTTTAGCAGGTTCTCAGTAATTGCCTTCTTACTTTCTCCTCCCAAAACCAAAGCTGAGGTTTCTGATTCCTAAGTTTGAAGTGCTTTCAACAGTTGGCTAAATCTTTGTTCAGAGATTTTCCTCAACCATCTTACATGGACATTTGGCAGAAATGCTGATTTTCATAACAGTACTTGCTACCTTTGTTATTGTTTTCCTAGAATAAAAATCCACGATGGATTTAAACTTAATGTGATTATAGTAGCCCAATTCACAGTAGCTAGGTTACTTTCAGAAAGTAAAATCACTTGAGTAAATTTTGAGATATAAGTTATTGATGAGGTTAGCTTGATATTAAGGTACTTTATTTCTCTGAATGATCTTTATGCAAAGAGATACCTGGTTGATATCACTTAAAGGAAATCGTGTAGAACTGATGTTATGCCCTGAGTTGGGCCCATATGATGCCACGGTGCTTGCTGACAGCATGGGAGGAGGTGGCCAGGCCAGAGAGGCTGTGACTGGCACTGGGCACCTGGTGACAGTGAGGGCAGGATGCTTTCATTCTCGATGACAGATGACAGCTGTGGTGACTCAACCCAGCCGGGTCCAAAATAGAGCTGAGGTACTATCACCTCAACTCTGGACTTCCAGGCAAGTGAAGTTAGCATCTGTTTCCTCTTAGGATTGTTTTCTGTGTTTTCCTCTTAGGATTGTTTTCTGTGCTAGCTGTGTTAGCAATACAATTTTAAATCAGAATCATCTCCTGAGTTACTGTCTTACACATTTATTCAATCCTCCCTTCCTAACTATTCATTTGCTATTTCCTCTTCAGCTAGATTGAAGCTTTTTGAAAGCTCAGACAGAGTTTTATACTCTGTACATCTCAAAGCTTATTGCTTTAAACATTAAACAGGGAACCTTGGACAGCTCCAGAAACTCTGGTGAGCTGCTGCAGCCCCTCCCCCATGAGCTTGGGAGCCAGGCAGAAACCCTGGGCAGCTTTAGGGGCCTGGGGGCCACTTATCCCCACTCCATGAGCTAAGCTCAATCTTGGACAGCTTTGGAAATGTTGATGAGCTGGCCCCACCATCTTGGGAACCAAGGGAAGCCCAGGCAAAACCAAGGGCCTTGGGTGCCCCTCCCTGCTTCTACCCCACACCTCAAGGGAGCTAAGCTGAAACTCAGACAGCTTCAGGGGCCCCAGTGACTGCATACTTACCCCCCCAACTGGTGTGGGAACCAGGCTGGGTAGGGGAAGTGTATGGAGGAGTAGTGACCATGGCCTGCCCACTAGTACACACCAGTGGAAACAGGGCTGGACCTGGACAACTTTGGGAACACCTGAGTGGGAGCCAAGCTGAGCCCCAGACAGCTGTGGCAGCATTGGGGATAGCACCCCACCTGCACACACACACCATCGAGGGAGTCACACTGAGCACTGAGGACCTTTGGGTCCTTGCCCCACTACTATGACATCATCCTGGGAGTGAGTCTGAGCTCCAGGGAACCTCTGCATCTCTGAAAATGACAAAACAAAGGAGCAAAAATGCAATTGCAGAACTTTACCCCACCCAGAACAAGTAAAGGAGGTATCAACATAGAAGAGCTTCTTAGTAATACACCTGAAATTTCTGAAATGATAGCAGCTGAAGTAAAGAAATAACTCCATCAGGCCATAGAAGACATCAGATCAGAAATAATATCTGTGGTAAAAAAAGAAATGACAACAATAATGAAAGAATTCCTTAGCATATCTAAAGAAGAAATAGAAAAATAATAGAGGAGCATAGTAAATTAATGGAAATGTTGAATGAACAATATAAAAAAGAACTGGAATGCATAAAACAGATTCAAACAGATAACCAGGAAATTAAAACTTCCATTGAAAGCTGGCAAAACCCTTGAACAAAGCTGAAGATAGACTTTCAGACCTTGAAGACAGCATTATTATGAATGACTGCGAAAGGATCTCTTAAAAAAACAAGAACCCAAGAAATAACAATTCAACAGCTGCAAGATGAAGCAAAGAAAAACAATGTAAGATTAATAGGTACCAATGAAACAGCAGGTGGCAGCACAAATGATAGAAAAAGACTATTTGTGTAAGTGATAGCAGAAAATTTCCCAAGTATGGAAAAACAATTGGACATCCAAGTAAGTGAGGCATATAGAACTCCAACTAGCCATAACCAAAATAAATCTGCACCCAGACATATACTGATCAAGATCCCAAAAATTCAACATAAGAACAGATTATTAAAAGCTGTTAGAGAAAAGAAACACATCACCTATAAAGGAAAGCCTATCAGAATCATGACAGATTTCTCATCACAAACCATCAAGTCAAGAAGAGCTTGGAGTGAACTATTTCAGGTCCTGAAAGAAAACAACTTCAAACCCAGATTGATGTACCCTGCAAAACTATCCTTCAAAATTAATGGAGAAATAAGATATTTCCATGGTAAAGATCAACTAAAAAACTTCATGAGCATCAAACCAACCCTATAAAGAGTACTAAAAAATATTCTAGAAAGAGATGAAAAAGACCACAATTTTAAGAACAACAACAGAAAGGAACCACCAAGCAGAGCAAGCAGTTAAACAGAGGGAAACAAGAGGAAGGAACAGCAAGAAAACAACAGGACAAAGATAAGCCAATGCATATCAGTTATAACCATCAGTGTAAACAGTCTCAATTCACCAAACAAAAGAAGTACACTGGCAGATTGGATGAAGAAACAAAATCCAACAATATGCTGTGTACAAGAAACACATTCAACTGAAAAGGAAATTCATATCTAAAAATCAAAGGATGGAAAACAATACTCCATGTGACAGGTACCCAGAAAAAAGGAGGTGTAGCTATTCTGTTTGCAGACAATGTGAACTTCAATCCAAGAACAATTAAAAGAGATAAAGAAGGTCACTACATACTTGTGAGGGGGAAGACTCCAAGAGGAAGAGGTGACAATCATAAACATCCATGCATCAAACACAGGAACACCGAAGTATGTAAAACAAATTTTAACAAACATGACAAATGAAATAAGCAGCAACACAGTCATAACAGAGGACTTTAATACCTCATTGCTGGAATGAGATAGATCAACTAGACAAAAAATTAGCATAGAAATTACAGAACTAAACCAAACATGTGAACAAAT